TCAATTTTAAGTCACAATGAACAAGAAGTGATGGTGGTTAGTAAGGCTGGCTTTAGACTACAAATTAGCAAGAGCAACTGGTCTCTTCTTTTCCTTAAGAACAATGGAAAGGGATCGTTTCAAGGAATAAAGACCATTTAAAAGTAGTTGCAAGAGTAGGTGAAATTCATCAAGAATGACCTCTTAATGAAATCTGGAGGGAAAATACACTTGAGGGGGCAAAATAATGAGATGGATTTGCTGAGTCTCTTCCAAAAGTTTCACACAGTAGTTACAAGGTAAGAAACACAACATTCTGTGGTATAATGAGTATCACACAATGCACTTTCCAAGACTAAAAAGTCTATTTGCTCAGGTTGTATCAAAATGTTGATCATATTCAAAATGCCTGCTAAATTAGGTTTCCAATCATGCAGCTCCAGGAAAGGGAACCAACTTTATTGTTTTATAACTTTTTATGATTATGAAATATACATTTCTTAGGGAATATGAGAAATGCAGAAAAGCAAATAGGTGATAACTGATTTGGAAATTTGTCTTCTAATGTTTCTGTTATTTTAAGTGCTGTCAAGTCAGTTATAGCATCCCTATGTAAGGTTTCCGAGGACCTTGGGGTTAGCCATCCAGTGCTTATCCTACAGTGCCACACCAGGACTCCTAATACACGTTCCTAATATTCTCCCTATAAGCCTTTTCCCATGGCACCGTCTCTCATCATACCAAGTCGTCAAGTTCCTTCCATGAAGCAAAGTGTCCAAACACTGGAGGGTGTGTGGTGGCCACACGAAGCTTACTCTCACTGAACCACTCTTCCTCTCCTTTGGCATGAGCCCCAGCCTAGGTTCTCCTATCCAATCCCTGAGCATTGAGTCCTGGAGTGTGAGAAGGGACATCAATTCCTGTATCCCTTTATAAGTGAAGTGAGACAGAAAAAAGCCTAAATTACACTTAGCATCAGGGAAAACTGTCCACACTAGAGATGACTATAGATTCAAAGAGTTAGTTACCAATTATAATAACCTAGGAGTCATTTGTAAAAGAGTCAGCACAACAATTGTAATTAAATATGTGGCAGGTTTGTTATTGCTTAGTTTCATCTTATGAAACCTGAGAAGGCTTTTTATCTTGTAAGTGAGGCAAGTTAAGGAAGGCAAGACGCTGAATGGGGTAGTAGTGAATTGTTGTTGTTGTTAGGGGCCATCGAATTGGTACTGACCCATAGCGACCTTATTTATGTACAGCAGAACGGAACATTGCCCAATTCTGGGCCAACCTCACTACTGTTGCCACGCTTGAGTCCATCGATGCTGCCACTTGGCCAATCTATCTCTATGGGGGTCTTCCTCTTTTTCTCTGACCCTCTACCTTACCAAACATGATAGCCTTCTCCAGTGACTGGTCCCTCCTGACAATATGTCTGAAGTATGAGAGACGAAGTTTTGCCATCTTGGCTTCCAAGGAGCACTCTGGCTGCGCTTCTTCCAAAACGGATC